GAAAAAAACTTGCCCAAAGTCATAGCCACCAGCAGCACAACCGCCTTGCAAATAATAACCACAGCTATGATTTATTGAAGGCTTACTATACGCCAGGAACTGTATGTACTAAGCACTTTACATGCATTATTTAGGTAATCACACCTCCACTCCCATCTTCTTTTTTTTTTTTTTTTCAGTTATGTAGCTGAGGCTCACAGAAGTCAGTAACTTATCTGATGGGTGTCACTAATAAATGAGATTCTGGAGGTGCTCATAGCTGACATGCCATTCTGTCCTACAGTTTTGCTGGTGTACCTACCCTATCCTTGAAGAATCAATCATCTAATAGGGGAAGGCAGAACACAGCCATCAAAACAGAAATTTATCTCAGCACTTACTGATGGATACACATACACACACAAGTAACCAGAGATTAAGTGAAGAAAGATTCCAAACTGGTCCCCTTGCTTCTCTTCTTGTACTGTCCACAACTCACTCTCCACACGACAGCCAGAGTCATGTTTTAAAATATGTATCAATCATGTCACTCTCCTATGAACATCTTCTAACAGCTTCCCATATACTTAGAATAAAATCCAGACTCCTCACCAGGCTCTGCTTGAGCTGACCCCTGCCTACCTCCTTGACCTCATCTCCCACCAATCTCTTCCTTGTCCACATTGATTTGGCCATACTGGCCTTCGTTCCACCCTGAGCACATGTGAAGCTTGTTGCCACCTTAGGGCCTTTGCAACTTGCTCTCGCTTTTGCCTGGAACCCTCTTCCCAGGTCTCCACGTGGCTGTCCCTTTCTTCTCACTCAAGTCTTCCCTAAATGTGGCCCCACAAAGAGACCTTCCTGATCACAGGATCTAAGATTGTTCACCACCTTCCTACCACTGCATCCTGCTTTGTTTGAGCTATTGTATATGCTACCGTTACCAAAGCACAAGTGCCGTCTTATCATTATCTGAAATAATCTTGTTAACTTGTTTCCTTGCTTATTGCCCAACATTTTCCCCTCTAGAAAATATTCTTCTTGAGGACAGAACTTGATCATCACAGCAGCGCCTAGAGCTGTGAGTGTCTGGCTTATAGTAGGAAATGTAATACATAGTTATTGAATGAATGAGTTGAATTGATTGGAGCAGGGAATTCTTGTGCAACAAAGCAGGGTGGGGTAGGAAAGTATGTTTGAAAGGGTCAGGAGAAGATTGAGGAGGCCTCAAATTGTAGGCTAACCCCTCTACGTGTATGCTGTAGGCAGTAGGGAGCCACTGAAAGTTTTTGATTTCCTGAAAACAAGGTTTGTTCATTTAGTTTCCAAGCAGTGTGTAAGATGGATTGGAGAGGAGAGCTTGGAGATGGACAGTCGAGTTAGAAGCCTAGTGGAAACCCAGCCAAAGGCAGAGTAATAGTTTAAAAACTAAATAAATTGTCTGCTTTGACCCTATAACAAAAACAACTACCACAACTCATTGGTATATAGAACTTACTGTGTCTCAGCAGACCCACCTGCAATGTCCCCCAGTCGAGTGCAGTCTGAAAGAAGACTGGAAATGGAATCAGATGGGCAGAGGTTTCAACTTGTCCTGATTCTGCAATTATGGTTTATGGGCAACATCATTTGAGTCAGTCCTTAAAGGGTTAACGATCAGGTCACAGGATTTAAGAATTTAAAAGTCTGAGCCCCAGAAGGGAACCAGTCCACATCTTGTCATTTTCTCATGAGATTAGAGAAGGGAAGTGACTTGCTCAAGGCCAGGAGGCCAGGAGAGCTTCCTCTGTTTTCCAGAGATGCTTCATGTCTGAGTTTCTTCACCTAGAAAATGCAGAAGTTCTTCTGCACAGGATCAAATAGATACTGTGAGAAGGCTTTGCAAACTGTGAAATGAGGGGCTCGTGTGGTATTTTATTATTATCTGGCCATAACTGCCAGCTTGGCTTTGACTCAGGTTCAGATTCATTCTTCCAACACATTTTATTTAGAGCTTACTAATGCTTACTATTTATTGCCTACTAATGCCTATTCTCAGCACTGGAGACACTGCAGTGAACACACAGCCCCTACAAGCCCTAATCCTCCCAGTACTTACATTCTAGGGAACTGCGTGTGTGGGTGTGTTTGTTGTGTGGTGATAAGTGCTATGGAGAAGAGCAAAGCAGGAAGGGGAATGGGGAGTGGCCAGAGGTGGGAGAGGGGTTAGAATTATACACAGGGGTGTCAAAGAGGGCCTCTCAGAGAAAGTGACCCAGATTCTGGGCTGCACCTAGCACAGTGGAGGGGAACTTTTAAAATTAAAATAAAAAAGTTTGGAAAGGAATATACTTGTTCTTGGGCATCAGAGTCTCAAGGGAAAGGCTGATTTTGCTCGGATCTGTGGTGATGACCATCCGACACTGGCTCGGAGCATAGGCTGCAGAAATGAAACCTTTGTCATCAGCATTCTCTTAGACCATCAGACGCAACTTTCTGCTTCCTTCTCGCAAACAAAACCCGAGCAAAAACCTTAAAGGGGTTAGCAGAGATAATTAGCATAAAGACATCCTCAAATCTGGGTAATTAAGGAAGGAGGCAGGAACCCACATTGCAGCCCTACTCTCTCCTAAGTGCAGCGCTAGGCTCCTACACACCCATCTCATGTGATCCTCCAGGCAGCCCTACAAGGGAGATATTATTGTTCCCATTTTGTAGATGAGGAAACTGAGGTTCAGAGCACCCGTGTGACTTGCCCAATGTCAACATAGCTGAGAAATGACAGACCAGAGGTTTAAACCCAGGCCAGCCTGGGTCTTTATCCTGTGTTCTCTCTGTGAGGTCACAGCGCCTTCCCTGGGCTGAGAGCTGGAGTGGTTTTGAAAGCAACTACTGAAACCTTTGCCAGAAGAGACGCAGAAATTACATAGTCCAACTCCTTCATTTTACAGAGCAAACGAGTTAACAATACGAACGTGCGCCTAAACACCTGGTAGCCGTGAATGGATGTTGGTTTTCTGTCTTTGCAGATTAGAAACCAATGGTTTAGAGAAAAGAAGTTACTTCCCTGAGGTTTACAAAGCAGCTTAGCAGCAAAGCCCATAGACTAAGGAGCCTTGGGAAGTCTACATCGTTTCACTACTCTCTGAGCCCCTTAAGGCTTAGAGGTCAAAGGCTGTAGAGTCAATGACAAAGAGAAAGAGGAAGAACTGTCAGGCCTGGAGACCAGTGATCTTTCAAGGCTTCTCTCCAAATGATTACTACAGGGGAATGGCCGGGGTGGGTGGAGGTCTGGGGCCAATAACACGGAGTAGCCATGAGCTGGTGGGCTAACGCTACAGCCACTGCTGGGACAGTCGTGGCTCTCTCTTACGCTGCACGGACTGACCCCTGTCACATCCGACTTGCTCCTCAGAGTGCTTTGCTTCCAGAGGCAGTGTGGTGGTGGTACCAGCTGACGGTGCGCTGGTGGTCTTGGTTCCAAATTCGCATTCACGGGGTGAACCTAAGCAACGGTAATAACTGCGACAGCTAACATTTAATGAGTATGCATGTCTGGGGTGGGGCTGGGGAGCTGGCGTGTGTGTGTGTGTGTGTGTGTGTGTGTGTGTGTGTGTGTGTGTGTGTG